GTCAATGCCTTAAATATAGCTATTATTTTGCAGAATTGAAAATAGAATTTATTTAGTTATGTTTCTGCTTGTTATTAATAATTTGTGTGCTGAAAATGTTAAGTTTCTCGAATTGCTGCTCTATTATAAAAGATGATTCGCGTCTATTATTAGAATAATGAATGCTGTTATAGGAAATATGCTTTCACTACTCTAATTCAATCGTAAGCTTATTTCCTGACTGGACAATTGAAGCCTAAAGCTAGGTAATTTGAAACGGCGCTTGGTGTTGTTTCGAATAATTAAATGTTCAACAAATGAACGCAGCTGCAACAACAGGTCAACAAGAGCGCAATCAGCTCATCATCATCATCATCATCATCATGGTAAGTTGACTGTAGACTGATTTTCTTTCGTTTTTCGCTTTTCGTTTTTCAATTTTCTACTTTTTTCTGATGATGAAGTCAAGCAACTTGATGCCAACTTACCTGCAGATTTGCAGGGTAGGGGATGAGTTGCTGCAGCTGCAGATAAACCGTTATCAGTGGACATGAACGCAGTGGGGGTGTGACAGCCACAGCTTGACTGCTGTAAGGCGACACTTTGCCTTCTCCGGACTGCATTTGAACCTGCTCAGTTAACAGCAAACAAACAATTGGGCGACGGCTAGAGCCAACTTTCGCCAAGTAACTGTTCATTGAAATCCTACAAATGACTTTGGTATCCTTTGGGCAGGTGTCAATGCTCTTCGAGTGGCTTCAGCCTTACCCTTTAGACAGCTGATGCTGGCAACTGATTAACATTGACTTTTTTTGAATTTTTTGTGCCACTTTTAATATAGTTTTCAAAAAGAACCAAATACAGAATATTCTCGTGCAATACTTTTGTAACACATGAAGTGCCGCCCTCTCTTGCCAACACTCTCAATCGCTCATTCAGCTTGCATTAGACAAGTAGTCTACTTCATTTCACTCATTAAAAGCTGGCTGGCAAAGGCAATGATGATGGAATGCCAGCTCAGTCAAGCATCCTTTTGCCCAACGTCTCCTGGCAGCACCACCAGCTAAACTCACACACACGCCGCTGAACTGAGAGCCATTAACGCGCTGCTTGCCGAATTTAATGGCATGCGAACATTTTTGCAGGTATTTTTAGCGCCGACCCTTGGGCCAAATGTTGAGCCCCCTCAATGGAATGGGCATATTCAAGAGCTGTAATGGCATATTGTCTGTTTGATTTAGTTGTGGGGAGGCGTCTGTGTGAGCGGCTTGCTGTATGTGTATATGTGCGTTGGTATCTCTTAATTACAGCAATTATTTAGCCAGAATATTGAATTTATGGCTGCCACCAAAATCAGGCGGGCTTTAAACACCTTCACATTTGCCATCTGATCGCGGTTAAATATATGTTACAACAATTTAGGTGTACAGAGAACGCTTGACTGTGGCGAATGCATTTGGAGTTCCAGTTAAATTGTGGATAATGAAACAGCTGCAACAGCTGAACTCGTCTTCGTCTATTTAACTTAATTATTGGATGTGCATAGCGAAAACATTGCAATATTCGAATGGAAAGTCAACTGAAAATTCTTCGTTAACTAAAAAAGAGAGTAGAGCGTTTAAGCTGAGTTGAATAAAAACATATTAAATATAATCAAATATTTTATATGTCATTTTATCATGGCCTTCTGTGAGGCTGAGAGCTTCTATAGAGTGGTTTCTGCCTCTAGACTGCGCGCTTCTTATTAATGGCTTGACAGAGAAATAGAGATAGAGATTGAATAGCTTTTGCTGAGTGAGAGTGAGATGGCAGCTTAGATCATTCAGTCCGGGTCATAATGTAATGAAAGAATAGAAAAAACAATTGTGGAAAATTTGTTAATCAAATCGAATATCTAGCGATTTAAGCATTTATGTGTCCCTACAATTTAAAAAATTTACCCTATATTTGATTCGCCAATTTCGCCACGATTAGGGCATTCGCTACGGATATGCACATTGATCACAGTCAGGCCAAAAACGTTTATATTAAGCGGCATGCGACAAACGGAGAATCAGTCACAATGTCCAACCAGATTGAATTGGCAGCGTTTCCCCGCATTATTGTGCCGCAGGGCGGTCTCTTGCTGCCGCATAGCATGCCGTCGACAAGCTTCGAGCAGGCGTTTGTGGACTCAGTGGGAGCGTCTTTCAAGGAATGTGCCCCCGGCTATTTCTGGAACGATGAGACATGGAATTGCGAGCCAGAAATATCAATGCGCAGAGCTAAGTGCGCGTGGGGATATACAAAGAATATACGTTTTAACGAATGCCGAAGAATCAGATATCAGTTGGAAGCCCAGAGGGGAACGATCAGAAAATGGTGGGACAAGACCTTCAAATCGCCAGAAAAAGCGAGTGAATGGGCAGAGGTACAAACGTCACCAGCAGCAGGATCAGCAGCCGACTTTGCCACACATACCCCATCACCACGACCCGAAGGGTATGAAAGTAATAGTAGAAAATGGTTCGGCTATGGCGACAATTTTGGCAGAAATGAACCCCATTGGTAGAGCAGCAACTGAAAATAATTTCATCACATATCTACCGAAAATAAATGCTTCTATAAACTAGATTACAAGATAGATTTCAGATTACGTTTATCGTTATTCAATATGCAAATCTTTTCACAACTGTTAACTGATTTGATACGGTTTCAACTGTAAAGCACTGAAGTAATTAAAAAATGTCACAATTTTCATTTATTATTTATAGCAAAGCTACGGCGTATTAAATGGAAATTTCAGTCAAGCAATGTTTCTTTAAAAATACATTTATGTAAACAAACAAATATAAATTCTTAAATGATCGGAGCCCTTGACATTTGAGCTCTAATTTCAGTCAAATGAAACACTCATAAATCCCGACTTAATTTTGTACTTGATTGCAAATGAAAGAAGGGACTGAAAACTGAGAGCATGAACAATCATTGTCTAGATCTACAGTTCGATGCGGCACTCGAAATGTAACCAACTTCACACATTTGCCAACAATCTATACCTCCCTTAGCAAGTGATTGAAATTCCAAGTTGACAGTGCAGAGCTCGATCATTAAACGACTGAGAGGTCAACTGAGTTGGATCAGCAAGTGACGACAAACTGACAATCAAACAGCTAGCGAACTGAACAGCAACAGAAACGAGTGTGATGCAGAAAAATGTGTCACTTCAAGAACCTTGGCAATGAGCTCCATCAGAACGATGAACTGAGCCTACAGTAAAATGTATTTGCAATGTGAACGCGTATTAAACAGTCGGTTTATTCCTATGTTGTTTTCATTTTGATATATATTTGAGCATTTCATATTTATACATATGTTTCAAGTCGTTGTTGTGCTCTGCTCAGTAAAGTTCTTTGTTGTGCATTGCAGGTACGTTCTGTCGATTGCCAACGATGAAGCAATGAGAGGAAACAGTTGCCAAAACAAATGTCACGTGAGCCACAAACTTTTAGCTTATTTTATTTGCTTTCCTGTTCATCAGGACAAACACTGCACACTTTTCACAAAGCATATGACCGTACAGCGGGTATTACAAACGGCTTTAGAGAATATTTAAAAAAAATTATATAATATAAAAATATGTTTAGATATTTGCTACACTATGATTTATAGAATTTCTGTTAGTTAAAGTTGAATTTTGGCTCATTTAAAATAAAAATATTTGAAGTTGATTTAAACAATTTATTTTATTTCTTTGTCTAGCCAAAATTCGTGAAAATCGAATTCTTCTTTGATTAATACCCTGCAAGGGTATTTCATCATCGGCAATGCTGTTTGGGCTTAGTTCACTTTTGTTCGTTAGCTGTTGTTGTTGCTGTTATTTGGTGCAGTTGCCTTGACTCGAGCTCTGATTTGCTGCAATGGCAAACGCGCTGGCCAAATCACGTAAGCCCTCGGCTGAAGCATTTGTGTGCCTGGGGCTGAGGGGCGCGGGTCATGTGTCTGCCCCGTCGCTACTTTGCTCTGATTACAAACAACAACAACGAGAACAAAAACAATGTTAGGCGCGCTTTGTTAACGCCTGAGCGGCCCCAAAAAAAATTCCTTGTGTGCAGTTGCTGGGTTTTTTTTACCTTCGCCTTGCTCTGGCCCGTAATAACCCTCGCTGGGCATGTGTTTGTTTTCCTTTATTTTTTCTTTGCTTTGCTTTTTCTCTCTTTTTTGGCTTGTGCCAACTTTGTTTTAAGTGAAAATTGAAACTCAACTCAGCAACTGTCCAGCATTCGCTTTTTATTTGGTGATTGCTTCGCTGGCCAAATCTTGTAACTGAAAACTCAAAGCTAACTGAAAGTCTACGTGACCGCCGGATGTGTCGCACCGGAAGTGAATGCACATACAGACTCACAAAAAAGTATATGTTTTTATATATATTTATGTTAGATAATGCACCAGCAAGCGTCTCTTTAGAGCAACAAAAAGTTACGTGGACAGAAAAAAATTGTCTAATATTTCCATTTAAATATTTATATAATTAAAATATATCGTGTATTTTTATTAAGCCTATAGAAATTTCAATTATTATAAATAATTATATTTTCATTATCAATAAAATACAATTTATATGAAAGACAATCTTGACCTTTTTATTTTAATATAATTTGGCTATGTGGGCGATAGTACTAGCTCGAGCCAGGCACAAATTGCTGAACTTTAAATTTAAAGACAAAAAAATGACAGCAGTGCACAAAATGTATATCAATAGTAAATGAAATAAATCTACAAAAACTCGTGGATTATCCTCACACCAAATGCAACAATTCTGTTATCAACTTGCCCATTTAAACATTCATACAAGCAGTTCAAGCAGTAGCAAAACAATTTACATTTTTAAGTCTATTTTTAAGTTCATTCTAGAAAAAAAACACTAGTGGTATTAGTTTATAAAAATATTTTATTCTGTCAAGCCAATAAATAGATAGCTTAATTTGAAATTTCTGTTGACCTATTATGTTAAATTTATTTTAATAATTACAAACTATCAAGTGCTTAATACATAAATATAGGGCCACGTTGTACTATGGAAGCAGAGAGAAAAGAGGTCGTTGTTTAATATATTCAAATACATATGCCGCTGACTTAGTTACCTTTTAAAATATCTTGCATAATACAAACTCCTAGAAATAGTTTGCAATTAGTTAGGCTTATGCTTGCTGAGCTTGCGGCTGTTGGTGGGACGTTTGCCAACTTGTCGCTTGGTGGACAATCGAGGCTTTGAAATACGTTTAAGCTGTTGGTGGCGCAAGGTAAGCATCAAAGCGCTGCTACTGTCGGCGTTAGATGGCAAGTCCATCAGCTTGTAGACCTGGCCATTCAGCTCTGTGCAGAGGCACTGACGGGTGTGAACACTCCTTTTGGATGCTGACGGCGGTGTTTGATTGACTGGCTCCAAATTCAATATCGACTTCACACCCACGCGGCGATCCGACGAAGCTTTGCTTGGGCGTGCCATTTTGGCCGTAGTCCGACGCTTAGACAAGGCCGAACGCTTCGACTTGGTCTTGCTCTTGACCGCAGCAGCGGTCATGCCCTTGACTTTGGTACGACGACGCGGCGCCAAAGCGCACATTCGACAAGACGAATGATTGCACGGATCCACGGCGCGGCCGAACTGCGAGTTCGTGTACATGATCTCTGCATCGCAGCTGTCAGCGCCGATTCCTTCCTCCGACGGAATCTGACACATGCGGCGTATGACACTTGGCTTCAACGGTTTCTTACTCCGCATGCGCGGCTTCCGAACGATTCTGCCCACAGAGGCTTTCCGCTCTGGCGCCGTCTCACATTGCATGGTCACCCGTGATTTCGCCGGATCATTGTTGGCTTCCGGCATTTCTTCATCTGCTTGAAGCTCTGTCCTATGAACACTGTGCTGTAAAAGATTTTATAGATCATGCAATTAGGTAAGCTAGACAGGTGAAACTGTGTTATACCCACCTGCAAGTTAGCATTCTCCTTGTTCTTGTCCTTATCCCTGTCCTTGTCGCCGTCGGTCTTCCTGATATCGGATTTCCTGATGGTGCTTCTCTTGGTAGAAGGGTTCGATGTAGTTACGGACTTTGTGGTACTGTTGTCATCAGCCATTTGTATTGCTCAAGCGTATTTTTGCAAAAATTACTTTAAAATAAAGACACACAAGATTCAAAAAACAGTATCAAAAATAAAAAATATTTCAGTTGTGTGATGTACGTTAAGCTTAAGAACAAACTGAAGGGCGACGAAGGGGGATTGGGGGTGCAAGAGGCGAGTGGGAGAGCAAAGCCGATCTGCAAAATATGGTAAAAAAGAGACAAGGAAAAGCGGGCAGACGAGGAAAGAAAGAAAGGAGAAAGACATAATGTAAGAGAAGAGAAGAGAAAGTAGTAAGAGAAAGAGAAAGAGAAAGAGAAATAGAAAGAGAAAGAGAAAAAGAAAGAGAAAGAGAAAGAGAAAGAGAAAGAGAAAGAGAAAGAGAAAGAGAAAGAGAAAGAGAAAGAGAAAGAGAAAGAGAAAGAGAAAGAGAAAGAGAAAGAGAAAGAGAAAGAGAAAGAGAAAGAGAAAGAGAAAGAGAAAGAGAAAGAGAAAGAGAAAGAGAAAGAGAAAGAGAAAGAGAAAGAGAAAGAGAAAGAGAAAGAGAAAGAGAAAGAGAAAGAGAAAGAGAAAGAGAAAGAGAAAGAGAAAGAGAAAGAGAAAGAGAAAGAGAAAGAGAAAGAGAAAGAGAAAGAGAAAGAGAAAGAGAAAGAGAAAGAGAAAGAGAAAGAGAAAGAGAAAGAGAAAGAGAAAGAGAAAGAGAAGAGAAAGAGAAAGAGAAAGAGAAAGAGAAAGAGAAAGAGAAAGAGAAAGAGAAAGAGAAAGAGAAAGAGAAAGAGAAAGAGAAAGAGAAAGAGAAAGAGAAAGAGAAAGAGAAAGAGAAAGAGAATAGAAAGAGAAAGAGAAAGAGAAAGAGAAAGAGAAAGAGAAAGAGAAAGAGAAAGAGAAAGAGAAAGAGAAAGAGAAAGAGAAAGAGAAAGAGAAACGAGAAAGAGAAAGAGAAAGAGAAAGAGAAAGAGAAAGAGAAATAGAAAGAGAAAGAGAATAGAAAGAAAGAAGAAAGAGAAAGGAAAGAGAAAGAGAAAGTAGAAAGAAAAGAGAAAGAGAAAGAGAAAGAGAAAGAGAAAGAGAAAGAGAAATATAAAGAGTAAAGAGTAAAGATGAAAGAGTGAAAGAGAACTAGTAAAGAAGAGTAAAGAGAAATAGAAATAGAAATATAAGAATAGAAATGATAATAGTAAATATAAATATGAAATATGAAATAGAAAGATAAAGATAAAAGAGAAAGAGTAAATATAAAGAAATAGAAATATAAATATAATATTAATATAAATATAAATATAAATATAAATATAAATATAAATAATAAATAAAATATAAATATAAATATAAATATAAATATAAATATAATATAAATATAAATATAAATAATTAGTTGTAACTTCCTTTATTTAGCACTTGAATTAATTCTTTAAATCTTAATCAGTCCGTTCGGTTGAATCGCACTCTGCTCTCTACTCTAGTCTAGTTATCGGACAGTGTTTGGGGAAGAGTTTACTTTCGCTTAGGTGTTTAACTTTGAGCTTGACCAAAACTTGCTCGCCTGCGGCTGCTGGCTGACTTATATTTCTATAGAAAGATTTTCCGTGTATCTGTAAGCGAGCAGATCCTTGTTGGAGCGCGTGAGGAGTGGGCGGGTAAAATTGTTTTATGCTGTGCACGGTAAAAATTCACATAATTGCAGTTGGAATTCAACAAACAACAGCAAAGCGTAAATAGAAAGCGCAAAGTCAACAGAAAAGCGAAAAAATATACGGAAAAATGGAGTAAAATTCCCGATGCAATTGGGCGGGGCACTGGTGCAAACTTAAAACCGTTGTCCACACACCCAAACACACACACACAGACACACTCGCACACGTGCAGAGAGACACAGAGCCACAGCAAGAAACACAAACAAATAGTCGCTAACCTTTGGCCCGACTTCCACTTCAGGTGCGCCAAGTAATTGCAACTGAAACTGAAACTTGGCAAAGTTGCAAAATAATAATAAAAGGAAACTACCAATACTGCGCTCTTCGAGTATGCCTGACTAGCAAATACCCAATCTTAGATATTCTTCTAGTACCTTCAGAATTATTACTAAGGCTTAACTCTAAGTAGCAGCATAGCCAGGTATAGCTTAGTAGACATATTGACTACAAATTGTAAAGTATTCAGACGAATGCTTAGGTATTTTAATAAAATATGATTGAGTAGTTATGATTGCATTAAATAATGTTGATCAAGGCACACAGTTCCTTTTAATCGTTTACTTTAGTCAAGTAAAAAGTTGTTTCAGTTTGAGTTTTTTAAGTACTATTAAATTTGTTAGTTTAAGTTTGTGTTTTAATATGATTTTAGTCTACTTAAATTGAGTATGTGTAGCTCTGCCTGGCAGAAGGGGACGTAGCTGATCAGGATCGATAGCCAAATCGATCTAGCCCTGTTCGTCCCACTTTTTCTGTCGTTGATCTTGGCTTCTGTGAACTGCACCTAACAGCTGTTAGAATCAGCGTAATTTAGATCAAAGCATCAATAGGTTGTCCGAGTTACGATATGTGTGAGTTACGATATCTTCTAGTCGGGCAGTGCCGACAAGCACACTCTTGTTTATATTTATAGATACGTGTCCCTCACGTATTTGTGCTTGTCACTTAAGTTTATTTAAATCCACCAGTCTCAGACATTATTTCGTTTAATATTCCCATCTCTTTATTTCTCTTTCATTTCTCTTACTTTGTACTAATCGAAAGGCAATCGAAAGTTGAAAAAGTGATCCTCTTTAGTCGCAGTTCTTTTGACATAGATGCAACTCGCTCACTGATAGCTCGATGGCTGTGCCAAGAGAACAAAATATTGCCCCAAAGTGTTTTCTAGTTAGCACCCTACGATTCAGTTTCCAAATTTGATATGCAGAAGAGCTTTGTCTAGTTGCATCCGTTTTGCTAGAGAAAACAGTAGCCACAACAGTTATCAGTAAGCAGGAGCTGGTATTATGGGTTAAGTGGGAGCGCACAGTCCAGAGCACATGGCGCCCTTCAGCGCGCTGCATATCAATGCAGGTCACAGTGCGGCTAAATGAAAAGAAATTGAACGCCCGTTGCCATAGCGTCGATGGCCTGAGACAGGCGAAGGAGTGGACGCAAAAGGAGACCGACGCTGACACCCTCAGACCGGATTCTGGCTGCCCACGCGTCTGTTGTTGATTTTAATTAAAACCTTTAAGCTGACGCTGATTATTAATTATAATGCAACGGTTCGCAACTGCAGGTGATGTTGCATTGGGGCAAGTTAATTACGTCGCTTATTAGGTTACAATTTTCTACGTCGGAGTACGCAATATTCATGGCCAGCAGATTGGCTCTGGCGCATAAGGACAAACGAAGCTGGCTCAATAACTTACACAGGTTTACATTTGGCTAGCTGACGTTAATTTGTTACTTGTTCGCTGATGCAATTTGGTAAGATTAAAGGTCTGATCAGTTGCACACGAACTAGAAATCAGAATAGTGAACCGTGAACAGTATAGCTCCTTCGGCGACTCTTTCTACCTCTTCCGAAGGACTCACTAGGCCCTTCAGCTAGGTTTTATATTAAAGAACTAATTGTGGTTCAAAATTCTGTTGTTTAGCTATTCGAATTTAGGACTTGAGCTCGCTTAAAAAACTTTCGAAAAAGTATAAAATCCTGTCGAAAGAAAATTAGAAGTTCTCCCAAGTTCAGAAGTAAAATGCCGCACTCGGTCGCTATCGACTGCTGAATACTCGTTCGCGACTCGAAAACTTTTGAAACTGTGTTTGCTAATACTTCACGAACTCTACTTCCAAAACTTTTGGCCAAAGGCAGTCTGAAAATATGGTCACACTCAAAGCAATTACTACAGGCAAAGATAAATTGTAGCAGGCGGCATTCCCCCTTCACTTTGTTTGCTGTTTTCAAATCCATTTCGCAAATTATCAAACGTATTTGGTGCAGCTACTAGCTGCGTCCATAGCACAGCCACCTGAGCCACCTGAACCACCTGAACCACCCACATTGGTGCTCAAAGAACCTTTTTGAGTCGAGTGAAGTTTTGGTTTGAGTTAAAGGGCAGATGACGGCTTTTTCACTTGGCATTTGGTTCCACTGTGCAAGCACACATCACACACACATACTAGTGTGTGTGTGTGTGTGTTTTGTCTGTCATAGTTTGAAGCACACACACACACACACACACATCGTTTTTTTCTTTCACTTTTTTGCGACTTGTTTGTTCAAAATTCTGATATATTCAGGTTTTTTGGCTTTTTGGCCACAGTTTTGGCCGCGATACCCAACGCTCTGGCTGCCTTTTAACGAACGTTTTCACCATTTTCACTTCGTTTTTTTCTCTACACACACACACACACATACACAGGCACACACACACACTCGCCGAGCGTAGGCCGCAGTAAATACATTTTGTTTTTCTTGGCTTTTCACGTGGATCGCCCGTTCCCCTCTGTGCAGCCCGTTAGCTGTTTGTGTTTTCCGAGTACTTGGTTATGGTAATCGAATTTCAAATTATTGCCATGAGCTATATGTATATATGCATGTCAGACAAGCCTGGCCACTGCCAGGACACAGCGCTTCAGTATTTTCAGCACTCTTGGCTGCGGCACAAGCTTTGGCGCTCTGCAGATACAATTTCCAAGATCAAAATACGACTTGAAGAAATAATATCTAGGCAGTTCGAGCTTTTTATTTTTTAAAAGTTTTTTTTCTAGAGCTTAAATTATAAATAAATACGGAAATATATTTTCATTTTGAGACCGAACTTTGGTTTCTTGAAAATTCGATTTGAAACTTTAATCAAAATATTTTTATTATATATATTATATATAATATCTTATTATTGAACCAAACATTTGAATTCCAAACTGAATTATTTATAATATTTCAGCTTAAATCTGGCTGTTGAAACATTTTTTAAATGTTTATTATTATGTCTACAAGAAAAATAAAATAAGTAAAAAATTTTTGCCTTTGAACTGAAATTCATAAATATTAAAAAATAAACAATACAAAATATAATAATATTTATAATAATATATAATTAAAAAATATAATAAAATATAATATAATAATATACAATTTATTTATTTTATAG